TGCCGCGCCGGAGAGGCCCGGGTTGGCTGAAGTAAGGCCAAAAAAAGGGTCAGAAGAGCCCGTTCGAGGCCAGAGCGGAGCTGCGAAAGGGACCCTGGTGGAGGCACTAACCGCAGCTGCCAGGTCCTGCCCAGCAGCTCCCGTCCCCACGGGCCGAGGTGTGGGGCACGTCTGTAACCACGGCTGAGAGGGGCGTGAGAGGGTCCAGCGTCGTCTTCATCAGGGTCACAGGATCACAGAATCATCTCGGTTAGAAAAGCCCTTGAAGCTCCTCCAGTCCAACCGTGAACCTCACACTGACCGTTCCCAACTCCCCCAGATCCCTCAGCGCTGGGTCAGCCCGACTCTTCAACCCCTCCAGGGATGGGGACTCCCCCCCTGCCCTGGGCAGCCCATTCCAACACCCAACAGCCCCTTCTGCAAAGAAATGCTTCCTAATATCTAGTCTAAACCTTCCCTGAACCCAAACCAGACAGTTCGGTGGCAGGGGGACATCAACTCAGGTGTGCATCTGTGGCAGTTCCCCTTTGGACCCTTTCCAGAAGGGATTCACACTTTGGCATTGTTTCTACTCCAAAAGCAATCTTGCTCTGATGCTTTCAAAAATGTGTCCCCGAGACCAAGTAACTGTACAACACTGAGCTGTTGATACGAACTGACACCCTCACTTGTTTACACCCTGAATGGATGAAGAGCATCACGATGAGAGACAAGAATGAAGCAGTAAGCTTTTTTGTGCCTTCTGAACACTGATCCAAAGTTTAAAAAAGCATCTTTAATCTTCCTGTAGGAGGAGAAGAAAACCTCTTGTGTTCCTTACCTGCTCCTCAGAAGGGAAATCCATGTCCCCTTTGCCAGGTACGAGGTGCCAACCCCAGCAGGACCCAGGATGACCATGTGTACCAGTGCTGAAGCTCATGGGAGGTCCTCTTTGTGCAGAGGAGGGCAATGGAGCTGGTGGAGGGCCTGGAGAACAAATCCTATGAGGAGCAATTGAAGGAGGTTAGCTTGAGGAGAAGGCGGCTGAGGGGAGACCTCATCACTCTCTACAGCTCCCTGAAAGGACATTGTAGAAAGGTTGGTGCTGGTCTCTTCTTGCAGGGAATTAGTGACAGAACAAGAGGGAACGGCTTTAAACTGCAACAGGGGAGGTTTAGACTGGACATTAGGAACAAATTTTTCACAGAAAGAGTGGTCAGACAGTGGAATAGGCTGCCCAGGGAGGTGGTGGAGTCCCCATCCCTGGGGGTGTTTAAGGGCCATTGGGATGAGCTGTGGGGGGATGTGGGGTAGGGGAGAACTTTGCAGAGTCGGGCTGAGGGTTGGACTCAATGATCCCAAGGGTCTTTTCCAACCTGAATGATTCTGTGATTCTGTAATGCTGCTCAGCTTAGTTGGGCTTAGTCGGGGCTCAGCACAGTGAGCTCACAGGGAAATACTCCGAGCTGGAAAGCCACAATGTGGAGCCCCCACGGCCAAGCAAAGACCCCAGGGTGGTCACACTGTGCTGCCCAGGCTCTGTGCTGAGTGTCTGAGGTGCAAGGCAGCTCCTGCTCCTTTCCTTTGGGATGTGGCTGGGCTTTGGGCTTCAGGATCTGGCCTGAGGTTAATAACTGGCCTCAACACGCGGCGTTGCAAGAGCCATTGTGTTTCTGCCAGCACCAGTTGCTACATCAGCTCAGATATTTAATAGCCAAATGAATGAGCAAACGGAAGTGCAAACGCTTCCGTGCCAGCCATTAAGGCCGCACACACTGCACACAATGTGCTAATCCCCCGGCCGTAATCGCACCCCAAGGCCCTGGGTGTTTTGGCGCACAGGACTGAAAGGCTTCTGCTGTTTGTGCCGGGTGGCAGAGCCAGCCGGATCCCCCCGGGGCAGCTGATGCTGACCTGAACCTTCCCTGCTCAGGAGACTGGGAGGGGGTAACTGTGGTCCTGCCAGCTGCTGCCTGGCTGCTGTCCTTGGGGAGATGGTGGCCACATCACAGGAGCATCTTGGGACAGAGGCAGCGAGATGAGTATGCATCAGCACCATGGCACAGGGCTGTGAGCTCTGTTCCTGGCCCTGGCACTAACTCGGGTGCAGGGTCACCCCTCCAGCACAGGCACATCTGCCACGCAGACAGCCCAGCAAGCACAGAGCCTCTCTCAGTGGCATGAATGAGCCCACAAATCTGCTACACGGCACCACAGAGACCTTCCATGGGATGGACTGATGGAGCACAGCCTGGCTCTAATGCACAAAAACACCAAAAAGCAGAAGCAACTGAGTTATTCTGACTTTTATTTCATTGCTTCTTAGTCCACACAGTTGGTATAAAATCAGAAAAGCAAAGCAAAAAAAAAAAAAAAAAAGAACCAAAAAAAACCCAAAATGAAAACAAAAACAACAACACAGTGTCTGGAGTCCTCAGGAGGCAGCCTGGGGTCTGCGCAGGTGCCCGTTCAATTCATGGCCAGACACATCGCTGACGCACAGACAGAGGACAGACATCTCGCTCTGGCAGCAGAGACCGACACGGCTCCACCCAGAGCTGTTTCTGTTCCTCTTGACCACAGGGGGGAAAAAAGGAACCTCAGTTATAAATGCTTTATTAAAAATAATGGTAAGAGCAAGTCTAAGTACAAAAGCAGTTATAGCTCATTTATATTACACAGAATTATTTCTCATTTCTAGCTTTGTTGTTTACCTCAAGATCGTTAACTGAATTTCCAGTGAAGAAGGTTAAATGGCTAGCAATATAAGGAATGGTAAATAGATAGCACCATTTCATATATCTGGTATTTGATTTCATAGATATACTGGGTTTGCTTCTTTCTCATCGGTAGTTTAGCTCCACGGCAAAGGATAAAGCACAATTCACGGTTGGGAGCATCAGTGCCCCGGCAGCTCGACTCGGCACGGCACGGCACAGCTTGGCACACACCCCAGCCCCACTGGCACGGGCACCGGGGCACCCCCAGAGCCCAGGCGGGCGAAGGAGGACGGCCCACGCTGGACTGCAATTCAACCTAAGTGATTTAAAAGCCCAAATTCCCAGCGGGTGTGGTGGCAAGGCAATGGGACTTAGGCACATAAGTCATTTAGGCACTTGGGGCAATCGAAGCCTTTGCTCCAAAATCCTTCAAACCTTTCGGAAGCGTCTCCCGTCAGATCTGGACGTGCACTTCAGTAACCAGGATCACAGCATGTGGCAGGAATGGGGACCAACTCTCCAGCTGGCGTAAACAGGTGTAATTCCGATTTACGCCACCCTAAAACCAGAGAGAGCTGGGGATTTCTGATGGTTCCATACGGGCTGGGATGGGGAAGGAGAGTTCAGGTCAAAGAGGATTTTGCATGAGAGAAAAACCACTGCGCTCTTGTTACACTGTTAGGAGTAATAGTTCCTTAGGCACTTGCTTTAGGCTTTAAAACATAGCATATGGTCAACAAAAGCAAACAATACTATGTACATATATGTAAAAAGTGTTATAAATAGGTTTTTTAAACCATAGATACTATATACATCTTCAATTAACAAGTAACCCTTTGAATGTTTCCTTTTGGTGTCGGTTGGGTGTGGTTTTGGGTTTGGTGGGAGGGTTTATTCCATTTTTTTTTTCACTTTTTTCTCTTTTTCTTTTGGTTAATTTTCTTTTCCGTTTTCTCGTCTATTTTCCCCCGCCTCCGTCTCCTCCGTGGACGTCATGAGTGCCCTTGTCACGCCACATCACCTCCCGCAGCATCACTCCCGCTTCCGTAAGATGACGTAGACGATGCCGCTGGCGAGGGCCAGGGGGAAGGCCATCCAGGCCAGGATATAGGCGAAGCCGTAGGAGGTGTTTTCCGAGGCTTGGTGCCAGTCCGTGTGCCTCACTGTGAAGATGGCCGCGCCGCTCATCACGCAGAGCCCTGCCGGGGAAGAGCACATAGGAAGGGGTTAGTGATGCCACGCACGGAGCACTTCCCTGATGGAAACCCAGAGCCAGAAAGGATAGTGTCCAATGCCAGCATGGGAACCTTATTATTGCCCCCTTGTATCCTGTCTCCCGGAAAACTATGGTAACGATTTGGGGGGTGTGATGCTGTGGGCTCTGCCCTGGCTGCAGGTGAGTGGAGATATCTCTGCCAGGCTCAGCAAGCAAAGCAGGATCCCCTGGAGCAGGCAAAGCCGGAGCATCTCCTGGGCTAACCCATGCCTCGGGCAGGAATCAAGCAACCCCCAGCTCCAGGCTGCTGCTCTGGACCAGCCCCACTCCCTTGGGTAGTTTCATTAAAACCCAGACTGTAGCCTGAAACATCCTGCCAGAGCTGCTGCAAGGTGTCAAACACAAACCTCATTTCTTTTAAAGCATGAAATTTTCTTTATCACCTGCCCAGGTAAGCACTGCTGAGGGCCAGGGCTGCTCTGGCCAGGTAGGTCTGTGCCCTGCAATCCCTCGCCCTCCTCCAGGGCTGAGTGAGGAGCTCAACTGCAAACCCCGCTCTCTGCAAGCCCCGCTGTGCCCGTGGCTCATCCCTCTTCCCCGGCTCCTGGCATCCACCCTCACCGGCCACGGGTCAGTGCTGGTCCCCGAGGGCTGTCTGGCCAGGCACAGCTCCGGTAGGCAGCGTTTAAGCTTTGTTGCAAAAACAACCCATCTGCATTGGGGACTGCCCAGAGCTAACACAAAGCCACCTCTGTTTCTGCCCAAAAACAAGCTCTTTCAGTCAATCCCAGCAGTTCTATTATACAGTCGTGGGGCTGTTGTCAGAGCTGAGTTCCAAATCCCCTGCATGGACCTCGGGACCACCTACATTTAACCACCGTGATATTTGAGCTGTAATTCCACTTGACACTGCTCCTTTGTTCTGGGAAAGTGCAGAAGTGGGAATACGTTTCATTAACGCGCCACTGGTGCAATTTCCATTCTGTAAGCACGAGAGCCAACTCCCACTGCCCCAGCCCATGCACAGAGAGCACAACAATTGTCTGCCGATGCTGGTGGGACAGGGAACAGGCATGCAGCCACGCCGGTCACCTACAGACAGCAGAAAATACAGCAGCAATTGTCTGCAGGAGGAATTTTGCAAAATGGAGGCAATGGTTTCTGCGGCATCTACACTGATTTTATCCAGACAACATGCTCAGGAAGCGAAGGGCAGCTGCATTCAGCTGCTTGCACTGATGCAAGCAATAATGCATCACCACTTTAGAGCCTGATTTTAAGAACACACTCTAGTCTTGCTTTGACAGGCCAGGAGGGCCTAACGCTACCTAAAATCTGTTCCTGCAGGTTTGTGCTTTCTGTCCCAGCTCTCTGGACAAACCAGGCTGGGTGCTGGTGCATGCTCAAGGTCAGCTCTCCAACGCAGGTTTTGGCAAAAAGCTGTGGGATATGTGGAAGACACAGCCCTCGAGGCTGAGCCTACCAGCTGGAGCCTACCTTGAGGCTGGAGAGAGTGATGGAAAAGTTGGGTCAAATCCTGAGAGGTCCAAACCAATGTCTCTCCCATGCTGGGCTTACACAGCTATGAGAAGTTACCCGTGGATGTGATGGACCAACCAAGGATGGAGGGGAGCTGTCGAGGGCCTTTTGATGCCTTTGTAACAACTGAAATCCCATCAGGGCAAATCCAGCTAGACTTTGGGGCATGTTTCCAAGCAGTGTGGAGAAGGTGCTGGGGATTCATCCTGTTCTGCTGCTGCACCACAGACCCAACTGACCTTATGCATCACTTCTTGCCCTTTCCTCCACCCCCCAGTTTCCCTGAGCCACAGCCAAAGTCACAGTGGAGACCAGCCCCTACCCTCCTCCCTGGCTCTCAGGGCACCTCTGCCCAGCTCTGCCACCCAACAGCAGCCAGCAGCCCTGCCCCTGGCATCCGTTCAGGTCCAGCATTGCTGTTGGTCAGGCTCCAAAACTGGAGGCCTCAGCTTTGCTAAGCTGCATCACCCCAGGAGGATGTTCAGGGTGATGGAGGGCTTCTGGAAGAGCTTTCCCATCCCCTCCCAGGAGGGAGGTCCTCTCCAGCTCTGCTGGATCTGAGAACAAAGCGCACTCAAGTAGGTAAGACCCAGTCCCTAGCAGACCTGCAGCAGGGCTTTGTAGTTCCAGGGCTTTGCAAAGCATGGATGAACACCTAAAAAGTTTTAAGGCCACAGGAATTTCCTCTGTTGGCTTTAGACATGGTGGCCTTCCACAGCAAGCTGAAAGAAGACCACATCAGGTTTAGCTCCTTTGACCAGCGCCATCCATACCTCCAGGTGGGATCTCCTGGCAGCGCTGTCACAGCCATGTCCAATTTCCTACCAACAACCCTGAAATTTAGGGTCACAAAGACCACAGTTGCCCTGAGCTCCCTCCTCCAGCCCCACCCAGGTAGAACAACAAGAATGACCACCACTTCCCACCTCTGCATGGTCCATCTGGACTAAAACCTCTGCTTATGTGTCCCCCAGGACATAGGGAAGCTTCAGCGGGATCAGCTCACAATTTTCTTGTCCTTCATACTGGCTGGGGATGGGTTTGACCCATGCCTCAGGCTCAACAAGTAAAGAGACAGTAGGTCTATAGCCTGACCCTGCATCCGCTTAGGACACCCAGCACAGCATGGACAGGAGAGTTGCAATCCCATTTTCTCTTTCTCTGAGAATGAGGATACACCAGCAATCACTCAAGAGAGAGAAGCCTTCTGCTCCCAGATCTATTAGGCAAGCTCTCAGGCAGATAATTGTATTATTAATGTCCATTTCCTCTCCTTGTCTCCATAGCTGTAATGGATTTCTACACATCTATCTTTCCAGAGACAGTGAACTGATCTGAACTCATAACCTGCATTATGGCCAAGCAGATACACTTACAATAGATTTCAGGCCACACTTGCTAATAAACTCGCTCTAAACTTTTCCAGGGTTTGTGAAGGCCAGTTGCTTAGATGATGCTCAGAAACTGTCTAAATTCAGTGAATGAGTTTTTCCACTGATTTAGTGGCAGGATCTATGGTGGCTTCTAGTTTCACATCTAAAGCTCCAGCAAATGATTAGTCTCCTTCCCACACAGTCTGTCATAATTTAGCCAGAATCTCATTGCACAATTTAATTTTTCTAGTCTGAATGCTTGTAAATCCTCACCCCTTGGTTTCATACATGGAAATGTAAACGGAGCCAGTAGCTTTGCAGCATCTATATTTGGAGAACTGCAACGTAGGACGTGAACTGTGGCTTATTTCCAGTGCTGAGTTCTTTAAGAGTTAAAAATAGTAGCTGACAGTTCAAAGTCAGCTGGCTCACCCTGCACGCTCCAGCAGCTCTTTGCTGATGTGGAAAGCACCAGGCCCCCTTATGGCACGTTTATAAATAATCATGGGATCCTCTTTTGCCAAAAGAGGAGCGTCACTATTTCCCCCACCCACCAGCGGTTGCGGAAGCCTCGCCCAGCCTGGTGAAGGTGGGTCCCAGGGCCAGCATGGCCTCTGGGGACCCTCAGCTCTGCACCCCCAGCCGAGCCGCAGGAGGAGGAGGCAGAGCCCTCAGTCCTGCCCCACTGCCCCACACCACCGACACAGCTCTGCCTCTGGCTCGGCAGGGCTAGCACCCTGCCCCTCCGAAACCTCCAGCCGGGGCACCAACCCTCTTGCATCTTCCATGACACAAGGACAGATGAGCTTGGATGCATAATGCCCTGACAGACAGATGCCACCCCAGGGTGTGCAAGACCTCAACAGACCCAAATTATTCATCCCCTCTTCCCTTCACTGAGCCACACAGGAGCCAGCCCCGTGGCCCTCCTGCTTCTGTACCCAAGAGTGTGCTCGTTTCCACCATTACCCTTTTGTCTGCTTGAAAGCCCTTTCCCCACCAGTGACAGCCCATCGGTCAGCCCCCACTTACCTGCAAGGATTTGGAAGATTCCAGTAATGTAAAACCGCCCGCCCTTGGTGAGCGTGAACAGCTGGCAGAAGAACAGAAACAGGGACAAGACGCTGAAGATGATGGAGAGGATCATCATCGCTTGGACAGACTGCAGCCATTCTGGGGAAAGACAAATGGAAAGTTCTGTGTGGGCACCACAGAGAGCGAGCCCCCACCACAGCCCGTGGCCTCGGCATCATCCCCTGTGCCACCATCCCTCCCCTGGTTAACGTTGAGTTTCTTAACATCTGGGGGATGTACCAGCAGCTGAGGTCCTCAGCACGGCCACTATGCTGCCCTGGATTTAAGATGACATGTGCATGGACCAGCATGGGAGAGACATTGGTGAAATGAATTGCAGGGCCACACACTTCCTCAGGGGAGCGTTTATAATAAAATATGAGCAAATATATTAGCCCCAAGCTGAAGCCCACAGAAATCAAGACAAAGCCTCTCCCTCAGCTTCACATCAGGCCCTGTGACTTCAGCTGTGCTAGAAACACAAAAGCCATGTGCAACAAGCCCTGTGACACCAAGGTGGCCAAGCTCAAAGGTAAAATAAACACACACGGAGTAAAAACAACCTCTGCTCTTGTGGAGTCAAACCTTTTGGAAAGAGCCTTCCCCAGCAGCCAAATGTAGCTGCCTCCCAGAGCAGACCAGTTAAACCAGACCCTGCATGAGTCACTGCCCAGCTATTTCCAGGCTTCGTGGGTGTGTAACTCCCCGCGTAAAAAAAAATATAAATAAACAAGCAAAATGCTCCTCCATCCCATGAGCTGCTTCAGCTTGACAGAAAGAGGCAGGGCCTCACAGCACTGGGCCGGGGTGTGCTCACAAATACCTCTATCTTTCCCTTTCCTTATGGAGTTTGAGAACAAAATGAGCATTTGCAGTCTTCCTCGAGAGGTCTTTAAGGATGTAACATCGATTAATTCACCACCAAAGCTAGGCACGACTCACTACAGGTAAACTGAGGCACAAACTACCCAGTGAAAGGCAGAAAAATCACATATTGGGGTGGATGCTCAGACAGGGGAGAATTAGGCAGCACTGAAGTCTCAGTCCCAGTCCCATGCTCCTGCCACAGTTTTACTCCCACCAGCTCTGCCGCAAGAAACAGCTTTCTGCAGCAAATAGCTGAAATGTAGCAAAACTTCCAAATAAAGCTACATTCCAGTTTAGCAACCTTCAATACTTGGTGCAGCAAATGAGGCCGTTTGGGACTGCCCAGAGCAGTGTCAGGTCCCAGAGAAGCAATCACACTTCCCCACCCAGTCCTCACAAGCAGCACTCCTGGAGGTGAGAGCGGAATTTGAGCCGGTACAGCCTTCACCTGGGACAGCAAGGATGAGCCACACCAGTGCCCTTCCAGCAGATCCATGTCTGCGGGCAAAATACTGTGCAATTTAGAAACGTCTGGCATGTTCCACTTTGGACCATCAATTCTTGGCTTTGCATCTTGCCTCCAGACGTTCATGCACTGGAGCAAATTCAGGCCCTGTTCAAAGCAGACGGAAACCACCCAGATCAACCTCTGCTCTTTGCAGACAGCTTTTTCCTTCCTCACCTTCTCACAATTCCCATTAACGGGCCCTGCTAAAGAGCTGCTGTGCTTCACTCGTTTCAGTGCCGCCAGGTTTTACATCCATGTGCACCAGCAGCTGCTGTGCCTTAGGAAGGAGCATCTAGCACTGCTGTCACTTCCAGCAAATCCCCGTGTGGTTTTCACACTGATGTGCACACAAAATGTCCCATGTATTTCATCTATCTCAGCTAGCCAGGCATGGAAATGGCCCTGCCTCAACCACACCTGACCCTCCAGCTCCAGTCACGCTCACCAGTGGGCAACAGGGAGGATGAGGCAGCTCAAGTGCTGCTAAAATTCAAGTCATAAATCATTGCTCAGATGGGATTGGAGAAGTATGGTCAGAGGATGTTGTCAGCTGCTGCACTGCAACCTCCTTCCATGCTTCAGCACAGAAAGGGCTCCCATCCCAGGTCTAGGAAGTTGAGCTTCCATCTCAGCCCTTCCCAAGCCCTAAAGCCGTGTCCAGCTCCGTGCATCGGCTGAGCCAAAGCTGCCCGGCCCCAAGCCCTGAAGTTTGGTCCAGAACTCAGGAAGCCAAGTCTTTTGTCATTTCAAAGGCCACAGGATCCGGGCCGGAGAGGAGCCCTTTCTGCTCAGAGGTGGATGCTCCATTGCTGGTTATTTTAGGAGAAGGCTGTCTAGACGGAAAGCTGAGCTGAGCTGCCCTTTTAATTGCATCCGCCTCCCCATGCCTCTTTTTTGGTTCTGAATGCAAAGGATTTATATGGGCCTTGCAAAATCCCATTGTAATAAAGAGCCGTGTCAGAGGAATATAAAGGCAGGCACTGAGAAAGAGGGGAAGCCCACCGTGACCGGAGGGGTTTCGGCAGCCAGGCACACTGCCCTGCCGCAGCCAGAGAGCAGCAGTGGCACAAGCTTGTGAGCAGGGAAATCAAGAGACAAACCCACAGAGCAGAGCTCTGGGCCTGCTCACATCCAGCCCTTTGATTTTATCGGCCTCCTTTGTAAAAACAAGGGGCAGGATCCCCAGCTCACAACTCAGAGACCTACAAGCACAAGCTGCTATGCTCCCTTAAGCCCAAACCCAGAGATTTCAGCTGTATTAGGATAGCTAATTGCCTTTTATTCCTGTGAAACACCACTATAAGTGCAGATAGGATAGCCACCTCATCATCCCCATATGCTTGTAACACCTTTGCTATTAGTGCTGTGTCCTACCTATGGGCTTTTAAAAATAAAGTAAATTTCCCGCAGGGAGGTCTGGATCCTGTGAGCTGTACCATGGGGCTGTCAGCACTGTTTACTCCCGGACTGTTATTTGTGGTTTCCCTTGGGCAGCGAGTTAGTTATTCCATTTTTCTCCTGCATCTCTTCAGCTCTGTGTTTATATCTTTGTTCTTCAGGAGGAGGAAGAAAAGGAAACAGAGTGGAAATGACAGATAACACCCTGCATGCCACTTAGGGAGAAGACCCACTGGGAGCATTTTTAGAGCCCTTTCAGGGCAGTCAGAAACAAAGTAATAAGTTTTTACAAAACAAATGTGAAAATTTCCCCAAGCTCTGCAAGCCCTGATGTGCTCATGCCACCATGTATAACCACAGGGAAAAGACCTCACTCCTGGCATGCTGAAGACCACATTTCACTGTCCTAAAGTCTAACAGGAAAGAATGAAACCCAGAGCACAAACTGAAACTTAGATATTGAAACCTAGGGCAGAAATTGCAGCTGAACCTCCCCAGAAAGATGTAGTTAACCCAACCCCTTCCAGCAGAGCCCCAGCCCTGCTTGCAGGGAGGTTTTATACCCAGACAAGGGGTGCAGCTGAGCAGGATTGACAGGGCAGGCAGAAACTTGCCCTTGACCAGGAGCAGAGGGCCTTAGGGGACAGGCATTTGCTCCCCAGGGTTTAATTCACTGCTCTGCTGTAGTCACCCTATCCTCTTTTTACCCAGCCAAGGAGAAAGAACAAAGTGCAAACAGAAAAGAAACTTTTCTGAGCAATGAGCTTATACACTTGCTGTAAGACATCACCAAATTAGTGTTATGCATTAAAAACATCTGTGTGCTGTGACCTGCAGCTGATGGTAACGTTTTGCATGTATAGTCTTCCCTTTGCAAACTGCACATGTACTGTACACTTGAAAAGCAACCACTTCTGGGGAAGAAAACATTCACTAAGGAGGTGATTGTCGCATATAACATACACAAAACTAGAGGGAGGGGAAATTCATGACATCTGCATGGTAAAACCTGCTCCATCAGTGCTGAAAAGTAAACATCAGCAGGATCAGGAACAGCATATGCATCTACTGGCACAAAGGCACCAGCCCAGGTCTGCCAGGTAAAGATTAGTTTTCTGAGCAGAGCTTTTTCCAAAGCCTTGGGCTTCATGCTCTCATCAAGAAGCTGAACCTAACTTGCATCCTTGCCTATGAACCAGACAGGTCACGTCACAAGCAATGGGGCTTGCAATGGTTTTAAACCTTGATATTCAAACACCCCTTAGGAGGGCTGAAAAAGGGTGAACTGGAGATGCAGAAATACTATCTCAATTGTATCATTCTTCTGGGGTTGAACTTCAGATGGCTGCCCCTTGGCAACTTGCTGTAGCAACCAGAAAGGAAAAAAAAATCTCCGCTACCGGCAGGGCTATTCCTGAGCAGCACAGACTCCACCACCACCCCCCACAGCCCCAGTTGCTCAAAGTGAACGTCTCTCCCGTTGAGGGGAGCAGCATCACAGTTCGTCAGTCACATCCAGCAGAGCCACTAAGCTCTCCTATGGAAAAAAGTGCTCTGTGACATTGCAACTTTCTTCTGCTTTGGTCCCAGACCTCCCACCAGCACGAGGTCAAACCTTCCCCAGCTGGGCTGCTAGATGCTCAAGCTGGAAAAAGCAGGTTTTTCACTCAGCAGTTGCTCCTTTTCTATTTTCCTACGTCCACTCCCTGGGTGCTGGATTGAGGTATTCCTGGAAATCCCAACAGAAAAGCGGGATTTTAAAGTGCTCCTAAGGTATTTGTAAGGGCCAGGGAATGAACAAGGGGGAAACACGGGCTGTGGAGAGGCAATGAATAAACACAGTGCTGCAATTCTTGTCCAAGACCTCCTGGTCCTCTTCTGCAGCTCGCTTCAGAAGGAAATTAAACCCTCAAAGCCCTCTTTTCTCCTCTTTTCCTCTTTTCCTCTCAGCTATCCTCCCTTTTGCCTTGTCCTTGAAGCTCCATCCAAGGAATCCTTGGGGCCAGGAGGTCCGTAGCTCTCAGAGCTGCCACATTCAGATGTCACATCAGACCGTCAAAGCTCATGTCCCGCAGAGGCAACTGCTGGTGATGCCGAGGCAGCAGGTGGCTGATGGCACCATGAAAAACATCTTCCAACAGCTCCACAGTGCCTAAGCCAGTTCCTCTCCAAGACCCTCGGCGTGGTGGCTCTGACCTCCTTTTGGCTTGTGTGTGAGAGCGAGCTGAGGCAATAGATCCATCATTTCAGGCTCAGGTTCCCTGCAGGGTTAGGTACCAACTGCCACTGATTTCAAGTCCAGGCGCCAGGAGCAGGGTTGGGGAGC